CCGCTCCCGCCCGTGCTGCCCTGTGACGCCTGGGCGCGCCCTGCCCAGCCGGCGGCAGCGGCACCGCCTCTTTCCCCTGCGGCTGCACGGCTCGGGCTCGGGGCGATGGGCTCCCGGGCGGAGGTGCTGCCGCCCGCGGACTGTGGCTGCGAGGGGGACCCCGGGGCGCAGGAGCAGGTCGGTGCCGCCCAAGCCCTGCGGGAGCAGCAGGTGGGTGCAGGGGAGCGGAGCGGGGCGTGGGCCCTGGGGCATGGGCTGGCACCTGTAGCGCGGCCGGCTGCTCAGCCGGGCTGGGGGCACAGATTTCCCGGGGAGGGGCTGGAAGGGCGCCCCCGGCCTGAAGCAGGATGCACGGCGTCCTGTGCAAGCCATCATCCAAACTCTGCCTAGGAGGGACAGAGAGGGAGCTGCTGCCTTAATACCTGGCAGGGTCTGGGAGCTGCTCTGGGGATTTTTTCAGTCAGAAAAATGCCCCAGTGAGAAGGGATGCATGTGGCAGCTGGGGTGTTCTGAGGCAAAAATTAGCGCAGCCGTCTCCAATTCTTGGGTCCTATGTATTTCCTACCTATGGGGACTCTTTACCATCTTGAGCTTCCTCTGAGCCTGATGAGGGGCACACGAGCCCCGCAAGTGTGCAGCAAATGATTTTTTTTTTTGTTGCCGTTTCTCAGTTGGTCTCGGAAAAGGTCTCGGTTTGGAACCGAGAGTTCTAGATTCTTTTGCATTTCTGCAAGTGATGAAGGGAGTCTGTGCCCGAAAGCTTGCGAAGAACAAATTTCCCAGCTGTTTAGATGGTCTAATAAAAGATCTCGCGGTGTCCACAAGTGAAAGCAAAGAGCTGGGCGCCTCCTGTCTCAGCCCACTGACTGCTGTTTTACGGTCCCAGCTGCCCGTGGCACGGGTGGTTGCTTGTCTGGTTTCTAGCTCCCGTGATGTGCCAGGTTTCTTCCTGGAGGCCTTGGGGTTCAGATGCCCCCAGTCCCACTTGATCTTAGCCAAAAAAAGGCCGAGATGCAATGGGAATGGGCTGATGAGAACCTACTTCAAGAATAGGTTAGTATAGCCCATCTGAATGAGGTGACATGCCAGGTGTTGCAGAGAGAGAGATGGCAAGCCAGCTGGGGAGGTTCAGTGCCAGGGGTCTCATTCTTTGGTTACTTGTCTGGAGAGTCGGTGGCAGTGATCCCTCCAAGTGAGGATGCTGTCTGCCATGGCTCATCTGTGGGTCTTGAGGTGACATGAAAGCCCAATCCTCGAGCCACAGGTCCATCTGCAGGTCAGAGTAGGTTGCAGGCTGGCATTCCTTTCTTTAACTTCCTCCGCTCTCTCTTCTCTGCTTCGAGGGCGAGCGACTTTACCTTGAACCTGAACACTAGGGCTGAAGTGTGTGCGTGGAGTGGGGGAGGTAAGGGAAAGGAAGAGGTTGTTGGTATCCCTCCTGCAAATTAAAGTTCTGTCACTTAGTATCCAGGAGAAGGAAAACCGAACAGTTTTAATGATGATCACTTTAGAGTTGCTTTAAAAAAAAAAAAAAAGAACACTGAATTGGATAAGCCATTTAAAATCTGTTTTCTACAGTTCCTGCAACCAGGCACACAATTTCCTCAGTTTAATGACTTAAGCTAATAAGCGATCTGAATGGCAAGGTAAAATTGAGGCGTAAGCTACTCCATTAAAAATGGCTCAAAATGGCACTATATTAATAACCACATGTATGAGACAGGAAGTGCAGATCAGAACAAATTAGGTGATCTTTCTTGAGCATTTTCTTTACATTGAGGCTAAAAATCCATTATGTTGGGAGCAAAAGTCTGTTATGTAATGATCTACTACTATAAGACAGCTTTCAGTGTGTGATATAGAACCACACATTGTTAGCTCAAAGTTTTTGATAAATTGCATTTGCACATACAGTATCATTTTTATTACATTCCATGCTATAAATGGCTGTTTTGATAAGGTGTTTTTTTTCTCTTAACAAAATTCTGAGAAATCAGATTTAGCATGGAAAAAAATGTAGGAAAAGGGTTTTTTTGCAGGGAGTTGTTTGTTTATTTGAAGGGGGGAGGTTTGATATTGTCAGAATATCAAATATCAATCTCTAGCCTGTCACACACTGTTAGCACTAAACTAGTCTTTAAAACCACGTTGGGGAAAATCTCATAATTTGACCAAGGTGTAAAGTTAAAGGGTTTTCTAAAGCCACAGTAAATTCTTACAATAATACAGTAGGTTTTTTTCCCCAAATAGTCTTTACAAATTATTTTTAATTTACAGTTTATTTACTCAGGTTATGGATGCGATGGTATATGGTGAAATTGCAAATCACATTCAGTTAGGCAATAAAAATAGATGGGTTAATGAACTTTTGTTCCTTGTGAAAATCCATTACGCAACTAACATTTTCATAGTGGCAAAATGTTTGACTTGCAGATTCTAAATTGCCTAACTCAGCTCAGAAATACCTTAATAGGTCAGAATGTTTTTGACACTATGGATTCAAGTAGTGGCTTCATTATATGCTTCCCACTACCTAAGAGGGTCCTTATGCAGAAAATTTTACCATGGTCATTCTGATTGCCATTCACATTATTGTTTCATGTTCCAGGGAAGTATCATAAGTTCTGTCAGAAGGGCTCAGCCTTTAACACTGACTGGACCAGCACTAACTTTCCCTCTGAAAAAGGAGCTTTTTGCAGACTGGCGATGACAGGCTTTTCTGGAGCCATTCCCAGCAGGAGTACACCTCCACATGTTTTATGGTCCACAGTGTTTGATCATGACTGTTCTACTTCCACTGTGCCAAAGCTGTCATCCTGGAGGGATAATTTGGTGGCCATAAGACTATCTTGCTGTTAAGAATTTCTCCCTCCCATTTTATGCAGTAATGTTGATGTTGAACACAGAATGGTGTCAGAATGCCTACAGCCAGTTAAGGGAAAAATACAAGTTCAGATGTAGTAGAAATATTTTCTCACTATAGCATATTTTCTCAGATTAAGGTGCTGAACTATGAGCAAATAATAGAGCAGAAGCAGCATTATAAAATGCAACAAAATATAGGACATTGATAAGTTTTTAATGAAAAAATGAAGGAAAAAACTTTTAAATGTAAATAAGGTCAAAGCGTCAGCAATACAAATATATTTTTCTTTGAAATGAGTGAAAAAAATTATTTTTTTTTCTTCTTTCTTTCCAGATCAGCTGATTCTAAATGGATCAGAATGAATCATGCATGGTTCACTAATTTTGTTATTCTGTTTGTTGTTGCTGACTGAGCCAGTAAATAACCACTAAGTCTCCCGTAGTTCAGGAACCAGCTGTTGACATAATGTGTTTTCCTGTGTTTTGTCTTTCTGCATTAAAAAATAAGGGATTTAAGAGTGGAGTGAGAAGGTACTTAGTTCCTCTGTGCTGTATACAAAGTGTAAAAGAAGTGTATAAGTATACACTTATAGTGTATGAGAAGAGATAAGCAGTAAGATTCTGGCCAGTTACAGTGGTGTAAATTCAGTCTCCGGTGGGGTTTCTCTGGACTAACGTTAGTGTATGCAAGACTTGATTTTGGAACTAAGCCTGCATATACATTTTGTGTGGCAAGGCCCTGAACTTCATAAGAGAAATTTCTTTTATGCCCACTGGGAGCCTGAGTAGGGTTGTACCCAATGTGGTTATGCTAAACGTATTCTTCCTGCCTCAAAAGACCCAAATAATTACAATTACTCTGTTCCAGTCACAAGCACTTGTAATATTGAGTATTTAATGTGAGTAATATGACTCTCTGGCAAGTCGGGTTTTTGAGGAATGCTAAACTCTTTGGCCTTAAAATCTTTTTGAACTTATTAATAAGATATACTCAGTAAAGATTTCCTTTGCGATATTAACAATAGGTAAATTTTAAAAAAACAAAAGAAAATTGTATTTTATGTCACATACAGTTGCTCTGTGAACTTTTGTCACAGGAGGTCATAGAATTAACTGCTGCCTGCAACTGGATTTAAAAATGCACAGAGAGAAGAGAGGTGTAGTCTCAGACTGCAACTTTTCTTGCTTGTAGATATAAATAAGGCTTTGTCTATGCTGGAAAGACTTTTTTGGAGGAAGAAGAGAAATAACTTTAGTTGCTAAGGGATAACTTGCCTTACATCCACATAATTTTTAAAAATTATACTATCTCACTAATTGATCCTCTTCAGAAGATGAATATTCTGAAGATGAGTATGGTGGTGTACTTCTTGTGGGAAGAGAAGGACGGGTAGGGGGGGAATAAGGTGTAACTTCTCTATCTTGTACTGCCTAACTTCACACTTAGATTCACTTGTCTGTATGCCCTCTAGCGCTCTGAGGTCATTTTGACTAGATGTGATGCACTGCTCAAATGGTGGGTCACAGCCAGGTCTGTCCCTTTTATGTTTGCATCTTGTGACAAGTGCAAACCAAGTGTCGTGTCCATTACAGCAGCCACGCTGTACTTCTTGTGGCCCTTCTGGGAAGATTCTGGACTTCCCAGAGTCATGGGATGAGAGAAACATGGGTCAGTGCAATTTGAACAGCAGCCACTAAAATGTCAAGATCTACGGGTAGCTATAACTGCAGATGATGTGTAGGAGGGGCATTCCAAGGGAAAGGGCCAGTTCTGCTACAAAACAAAGAAGGCAGTGTTGAAGGCACCTTTATAAATTAACTAAATGAGAGCACAAGTTTTCATGAACCCAAATTCACTTTATCAGGTGCTATGGCTCCTTCCCCCACAACCTCCCGCTTTCTGCCCTACCCCCCTTTACTCTATACCGGGGTGGGCAAAATGCGGCCTGGGGGCCAGATGCAGCCCGCCAGGCCATTCTATCTAGCCCATGGAGCCCCTAAATATTAATTTTCTAACTTTTTTATCTGCCCTGGGCTGCTTGTCATGCGGCCCTTGATGGCTTGCCAAAACTCAGTAAGCAGCCCTCTGCCCAAAATAATTGCCCGCCCCTCCTTTATACACACAGTTGCACATTTTTGTGAGCTCATCAGTACTTTAGGCATTTTCTGCTGCAGTTTAGTTGGTTTCATGTTTGCACTTTTAGGCTGAGTAGAGAAAAATTTTTCTGAAACGTTTCATTGAGATGTTAGTTGGGAGAGTTGCATTGCTTCCTAGTAAAATGGTTGCACAAGCACATGCTTTACTTTAAAGGGACTCCTCTCTTATTCTTCATAATGCATAGACC